ATAAAAATTATGTAGATTTGTAGACTAAAAAGGGTAAATCTTTACTTTTCAGAGGGACAGTTGGAAATGTCTCACCTTGTTGCTCAGGCTGGCCCCAAACTCAGTATGTAGCCAAGGGTAGCCTCAGATTTTTGTTATCCTTATTGTCTCAGACTCCAGAATATAGGATTATAGACCATGGACCAACATACCTTGTTCAGGAGGGGGTTTTACCAAATTGAAAAGATTAAGTAGCACTTGGGATCTGTGGGGTTCATATCCTAGCAGCAGGAGAGCCTGGTTTCAATCCTTAGCGCCCACTCCCCAAAATAAATACAGTTATGCAAGGTGATAGAAAGTTAACTCGCTTTAATGTGATGAAAACTTAAAATGTATACATATATAAAATTATTAAGTTGAATACTTTAAGTATACATGATTTTAAACTGTCGAATATACTTAAATAAATTTGGCAAGGAGGGAGGAGAAAATGACTTGATCAGATTTGAATTTTAAACAGTTGATTCTTACTGTCATCATTAAAATTTATATTCCTCGGGCTCTTTCCTGTATGTTTTTTTGACTCACATAGTGTTGTCCTACAGTCAGTTCATCTACAGCTTCTGTTTCTATTTCTGTATCTCCAGTCCAGACCTCTCTGCTGGGCTCTGACCCCATTTACCTCAGTGCCAATCAGATGTCTCTTCTCTGGCAAGTGTTAGGAAGTGCAGCATGCTCCTAGACTGATATTTATGCTGCATTTCCCTTCCAAATTTTACATGCTTTGTTGCTTTGCATCTGAAGTAATGGTAGCTGGTAGTATTATCTTTTAATTTACTCCATACTTAAAACCTGCGAAATATCTGAACTTTTCTCTCTGCTACTTTACTAGTTCTGCAAGTACAGTCTGTATCCTACCCACCATGTGTTGCCCTCAAATTTGTCCCCTTCCTTTCTAATTAATGGTTTTGTTCTAGTACAGCCTCTCTCACTTACATCTCTGGTGTGCCATATTCATTCCCTTTCCATCTTTCCTCCAGTCCTCTTTCCACTGAAGGAAGTGGGCTGAAGCTAGAATGACCTTTCTGAATTCCAAACTGGATCAAAGGTCGACTGGATCACAGTGCAGTCTGGTAGAATCTATCAGTCTTCTGTAATTCAGCTATAAACTCCCGTAGTAAAAACCAAAACCATAAGCACTGGTATGTATGTATGTATGCATGTATGCATGTATCTATCTATCTATCTATCTATCCATCCATCCATCCATCCATTCGTTGTTTTTTACCCTTAGCTCTTTGCTTTCCCAATACCTCTACTCTTACCAGGTTTCCAGGTTCCAGCAGTCCTCATGTTTAAAACTAGTAAGAACAAGTGTTCTTAAAGAGCTATTTCCAGTATGCCCCTTCTGTTGTGCACATATCTTTTATTTTTATTTGTTCTTTCCATGTTAAGAACTGTACAATATTTTTAAAGTAGAAAATCAGAAAATTTTGTTGATTATTAGTTAAGTATTGATTATATAACTACATAATTATACTCAATGTGATTTACTGGCCATTCATTTAATATATACCATGGATTTTAAAGTGATTCCTTAAAAATGAGTCTATTTGTTGTTAAAAATCTCAGTTTATAGATTGAAGAAAGAAGACCCATGTTAAAACAAGCCTTGACACAGTGACTAAGATAGTTAAGAATTTGGTGGCCTAATTAGAGAAATGAAAAGTATAAATGTTGAAATAATGTCCTTGCTCGAGTATTCACTTTCAGGTGTCAGCTCATTTTATTTTAGAGATTATATAACCAGTCTTTTCCTATCTGTCATTTCTAACAAAAAAAATTTCATTCCATTTCCTGAATGCTCAAATATGTTGTAAAGGTGTAGGATTTTTACATCTAGGAGCAACTTAATGTTACATTTATTTTTTAAAAATTAAACTTTACAAAATGAGACTACTTGTTCTGGTAACTCGTGAATGTGATAAAGACAGCAAGAGATTATGTGATGTGTCTGTGTGTGTTAATTATGAAGTTATATTAGATTCTCAGTTCCTGCTTACAATGTATTAAACAAAAATTATAGGCAGGTTGGAAATTGCTTCTCAGATTGATTATGCCTTTTCTAATATTGATAGTGATTTTACAGTTAAAAGTGTGCACTGCTAAAGTTAAGATGGGAATAAGATTCATTTCACTGGACTTTGTTAAAAATAGCATTATCAACTATTTCGTGATGTTTCCTTCACCATATATTGGGCTGTCCTGAAGAAATAAACCTCCACTTGCTTTCATGCCAGTAGATAATAAATTGGCCAATATAATTCAGTTGAGATGTTGAAAACTGCATTGAAAATAATGGGGCATAACATTTTAGGGTTAACATTTATTCATAGATGATGCAATTAAATAAAGCACGCATTAACTTCAAGGTCAGTCAGTAAAGTAATAAAATTGAATATTTTAATTGAATTGTAATCGCTTCCCATTGATACATGCAACTAAAGTAAAATGGATGTCAGCTCTGCAAATTATAGTTCTTCCTCCTAATTAATTTCTTAATTCTGCATGGAGTTATCCAGTGCCTAGGTCTTGTTGTGGGTTTATTCACCCACCCAGCTTCCATCAAGGAATGTCTGTAAGTATGATTGAATGGTTAGATGTCAGAATTTACAGTAAATCTTTTTCTGTACTTTGGAGAAAATCTTGTTAGTAACTTAAAATAATCTCGTGCCTGTGAATTAAAACGTTCTTGAAATGAAATGACATCCTACATCGTCTGGACTGTTGTCTTCTCTGTTAATATTTTATTTCTTGATATCACTATTTATATCAACATTAATAAATGGCTCACTGACTGAAGTTCTTAGGAGACATGAATACATTGAGACAGCATTCCAGAGCTGACTATTGGAGACGATAAACTAAAAAGATTCTGTGCGATTCAGTGAAGTGCAGTTTGTGACTATTCACAAGCTAGGCTTTCGTGACTAACAGTCACTGAATAGAATGAATCTAAGCAAGCAAGGTCTCTCTTGCGGAGTGAGATGAACTAAAGCTTTTGGATAAAGTTTGCATTAAAGAATATATGAGCTATTCTGTCTTTTTCATAATATCCCGAAGTGTTTGATGTAATGTTGCTTTACATAAAATAAATAAGAAACATGTAACCACACAGATCTCTCAGTTACAACTGACATTGTGTTGGATAGAGATGCTCTTTTTTAAGAGAAGGAATATTGTACATTTTAGACCGGATGCATTAGTCATTTAATACTCAATTTTAAAAGAAATGACTATATAGGATGGATTTGAACATTACCAAATTCTTGTTATTAGTATACCTTCAAATAGTTCAAATAATCACATCCTAGAATCATTTCAACCACAAACAAAGCTCTGTGTAAAGACTACTGTTAAGATGCCCCCTCTTCCAGCAAAGCCAACAAGTTAAACTCAGAAGTGATTCAAACATTCCAAGATTCATGTTTAATTTCAACTCAAACATTGACTTGATCATTTTAAAAACTTCTAAAGAAGGTCAATGATTAATTTATTTTAATGGCGCTAATCTTACACTTCAATTCACAATTATAAACATTCCTGAATATTAGAATTCTCTGTAAGTAACATCCAGTCAGAATGTCCTAGTCCCTGGAAGGAGTAGAGAGAGGGGAAACTGTAACCAGGATATACTGTGTGAGAAAGAAATCTATTTTCAGTAACAGAAAAAAAATCATGAACACACACACAAACAAAAACAACCAAAAGGCCAAAATCTTAGAGTTGCAAATTTATTGAAAATTAGGTGATAATTTTATAAATTAAGGTGATCCATTTTACCAGATATTTACTTTTAAGACATTCTTCATAAATAAAAGTCAATTATATGCAAACTGGATATTGAAAGGTAAAATATGTGAAAATGTAAGAAAAGTAAAAATTCAATTATATTGGGTTTTAATTTGCATGTTATTAATAACTTATGGAACCATTGGTGCTTTAGGAATTTAGAGCTCATTGAGAGCTCTTCAGCATCTGATTATTTGGGGGGAAGAGGACAGATAGTCTTCCGCCCACATCCACAACTAATAATGCTTCTGTGGTGAAGCCTGGGCTGATTTAAAGATAACAATAGGCTTAGGCCATCAACTTCTCAAGGACATCAGCATCAATCCCTAGAGGTCTCTGGCTCTTATCCAAGAAATGTTTTCTCCAAACAACCTGAATGTGTCTCATATGGATAGTAATCATGGACTTCCTAATGACTTGTCACTTTCTAATGAACAGGAAAAAAAATGAAACAAATGTGGAAATGTCTGATGGAGTTCTCTGCTGGGTGTGAGAAGCAAAAGACCTAAGTAGGCATTATTAAGGGCAGAGCAACATATAAGCCTGACATAATATTACTATATACAGAAAAGTATCTATATTATCGTATTGAATTGAGGAGACACTTTAATTACTAAAATCAGGATATTCTTGGTAAAGAATTATAGTCTATTTAAATAGGCACATTGTTTTGAGAGTAATTATGATTTGATTTCTTAATACAAGTGTATCATATTGTATTATTAAGTGAACTAATTTTATAGGTGTAGCAATCTAATACTATTTCATTTTTATTATTCTGTAATTACATTTAAAGTTAAAATAAGAATAAAACAGACAAATCACACAGTTTTATTTAAATAAAATAAACCATAACAACTAAAATGCCGAGATTTTGCATTTTCTGTCTTTGAAATTATACTATTTTCATGTTAATTAAAATTCCTGAAAAAGAAAGTCAAATTGAAGGAAGCATCTGCCCATTGAAATAAACTAAATCTTATTTTTTTTAGGAGCAAGAAATCCAGCTATCTTAGGGAAATAAGAAAGTAAATGCTGGTGACGTACATTTAACTTTAAAATCAAAACAATATAAGAAACATACACATTGCTTTCCTAGGAGTGATGGGGTCAGGGGAAGGGAAGTCTGCCTTTACACTTACTAGAAAACTTTGCCCTTTCTTCCACAGGCTTAGATCCTGATAAGCATCTTGGGAAAACCCTGAATGAAATGGAGCCTTATCTTTTCGAGGTAAGAATTTATGTTCATCTTTAAAATATCAGTATCTGAAGGAGGAAAGTATTATCCTAGCATAATGACGATAAGAATAGATTTTGTTTTAGAAAGGCTTAGATGAATTCATTTTATGATTTGTGGAAAGGTTAAAGTTCACAGTATATATAGAAGTGTGCTTAAATTTATATAAAATTATTACTAGTTTGTTGGCTCAAACTAGAAAGAGGCTGTAATCGCAGGGTAAGTCAGCGCAAAGAAACCCCTTGAGGACATGTGCTTTGTTAAAAGGGACCCGCAAATTGCTTGAGTAGCGCTGTGCTACCAAAGCCTCTGCAGCGGCTGTCTGGAGCTCACTGTGTCTAGTCAAGACTTTCCAAAAGCAAAGGAATTATTCCAGCCTTTCAGATAACCTCCTTTGTCTTTACATTGTCAAGTCCAAAGTGGGTTCTACATACTAAAATAGTATTTATTTCATTATTCCTCCATGTTAATTCTGTTGAATTGCTTTTGCGATTGAGGACAGGTGTTGGGTTTGACACAGCACAGGTTCAGTCACTGAAGCAGTATGATTGTTAGATTGTGAGATTTTTAACTTACAATCAAGATAGAGATAGACAGTGACTGTTTTTATGGGAGAGCTAGGCTCTGCCTAGTGTTCTGTCCTATACCTCACTTCCTTGTGTCTCTGGGTGTTGTCAAGGAGAACAAGGAGAGTTGCAACTCTCCATAATAACTCCATGAACTTCATATTGTTCCTTGGAATTATTTGTAATTGGATATTTTGTGGTTTAACAGTATATACCAAATGCCTAAAAGTCCCTAAAATATTAATTCCTTCTTTGAGTAAATGAAACTACATACTTGTTTTGTGACGAACAGAGAGTAAAGATGAAAAGAAAAATAGGAAAAGTATACACTTATGACAAATTATGTTTGGTTTCTAGAGAAATTAGTGTCATTTGAGATTTTTGTTTGCTTGCTTTCTGTGTGCACATAAGCATCTTGCAGCCATTTGTTTCACAGGCCATGGTTCTATCTGTAGTCATATCTACTCACTGCCACCAGACTGAGTTAGCTTCTTTCTCCCAAAGCAGTATTGACATACAATGAAGTCAAGTTTTCGAAAGTGAAAGAAAGGAAGTGAAAGACTGTGGCTTTGACAAAAGGAGTTTTAGAAGCCCTCTCTAGATTTCGACATTATGAGTTGAAGGATTCTACAGCAAAACCAACTAAGTAGGGCAGCTATAGCTAATAGTAATGTACTATGTGTTCCATAAACCTGGGTGGAAGGAACTTGACTGCTTTATATAAAAATATAGCTAATTGAGAATATAAGTTTGTTTACCCTTAAAATATATGATACGCGCATATTTTGAAGTATTATATGATACCTCATTAGTATGTCCAATTCTGTGTTTCTGTTTAAAGGCGTTTTTAATTCTATGAGAAAAACAAAATGTTCTTAATGTTTTAGAAAGTGTGAGGATGTTGGTTATGGGTAAACCAGGATATTACTATATAATATTCAGACACAAAAATGACATGTAAGCCATGTATAATTACAATACACATATGTATATGAAGCAGTACATTTTATCTTTACACTTAGGGCTTAAACCAGAATATCTCATTATGTATATATATAAAGACTGCAAAATCTGAAAATAAAATCTGAAAATTTAAACACTTGTGGTCCCCAGAATTTTAGCTATTCACTGTATACCAACACATAATGCAGAAGAAACAGTTCTTCAAACATTAGTCTCCTATCTTGGGAGTATATCTTAACTAAAGCTTCTCTGGGGAAATAGAACCACATGTTTAAATGTTTAGAATAATGAAGTAAGGATTAATTATCTAAACAGGGGGCAGTAAATGAAGACTTTCGAGGAAGGCAGAACAATTATTAAGTAGTTTGAGCAGCAGTACCTGATTGTAGTATTTAAAGAGGAGCATATAAGTCATGTTAGTTCCCAGCTGTCCTAATTTGTGGCCCTCACACTTTTCTAAATGTATATTGTAAATGAGCTCTTGGTCTCTACTGTCATGTGATACTTGTAGAATTGAATGTTGAGTATTTTCAGAATCAACCCATGTTACCAGTTCTGTGCAAACTGCTGCGGTGGGAGGAAAACAAATTGAACATTTTGCGTTTTTCATGGAATGTGTACTATAGCAAGTAAGGGAAGAAAAACTCTAATAACCTGTATCAGATAGGAACCTGGTTCCTAATGTCAGCCAGGTAGGAGCTGCTAGATGCAATAGGGCCACAGATCCTGGAATAGTGGATAAGATCTTAAACAGATTTGAATGATGGGTGAAATTTACCTGGGCAGTGGCCACAAAGTAAATCAATATGAATGAAGACTCATTAGCAGGAAGGCACACAGAGACAAGAAGAAACTTGATCTAAATGAAATTAAACTGGTGTTGATAGATTGGTAAGGAAAAGGTAAGATGGAAATGTAGGGCAGTCTTGAAGGGCCTACCGGTATAGGCCAGGCAATTTAGGATAAGAATAAGATTCAGAGGACTCCTCAACAGCAATTCATGCTATTACAAGAAAGGTGAGGAAACATAGTCTGCAGCTGTTCACGGATTAGCAGAGGAAAAATGGGAAGTAAAGTCCATGAAACTGTTTAGGAAGCAGATATGATAGAACTATATGGAACTAATGTGACAGGAAGACGAAAAGACATTGGCATCAAAATTTGCACAAGCTGAAAAATGAAGAACCAACAATTACACACAATATCAGCAATTGCTCACATGCGATGAAGGTAATCAGAAGCACTTATTATTATAGAAGGCAGAAGGGTTTAGTGAAAAATCAAGACAAGCTTGGTTTTTGTTTGTTTTGTTTCAAGATAGGGTTTCTCTGTAGCTTTGGAGCCTGTCCTGGAACTAGCTCTTGTAGACCAGACTGGCCTTGAACTCAGAGATCTGCCTGCCTCTACCTCCTGAGTGCTGGAATTAAAGGTGTGCTCCACCATGGCCCGGCCACAAACTTAATCTTAAACAGACTAGATTTCATGTTATAACATATACCCCGAAGACAAATGTTTTTAACCAATGACACTGGTGTGCAGTTGAGATGGTCAGACAGAAGGCTAAGGTTGTTATTTGTCGGTACTGCATGTAGTAGGTGAGTAATCCTCACGTGCTTCTGGTCTCTTTGTCAAGCAGCTGTGGAACGTTGCTTTCATTCTACCCTATTACATGAACTTCATTGTCTCTCGTAGTTGAGCCTTGTAGTAACTCAATGCTGACTGCATATCATGTGCTAAGTGGTCTTTATTCATGACTAGTTAATTATCTAACAAACCTATGAGGATACAAATTCTGGCATCTGTCTCTGGTGGGGCTACATGGCTTCCCTCTGACTCCACCTTTCTTTCTCCCAGCATTCAGTTTAGTTTTCCCCACCTACCTAAGTTCCGCCCTGCTATAGGTGCAAAGCAGTTTCTTTCTTCATCAATGATAATCACAGCATACAGAGGGAAATCCCACATCAATAGCTGATTTCAGAGAATGAACTGTTCTACTCAGAAGTCATTTTGAGGTCTAATTAAAATAGGAATAACCCTGCCTTAGCCATAGAACAAGTAGTATGAATAGTAATGTTAGCAGCAGGAGAATACCATCAGCCTTGGAGAAGCCAGAAGAGTAATGCATATGAGAGGGACTGTATTGACAAAAGAGCTTACTACAAAGAGCTCATCAAGGGGTATGTGTAACTTAGGAACAGCAGTAGGGAAAAGGAATAGGAAAAGAGTGTCTTCAAATCTGTAGTAATCTGGAAGCCCACGAAAGGCTGTCAGAAAGACGTGAGAGGTGAATAACGTTACAGACCACATAAACTGGAAAACTATAGAGCAGTTTGATTCGGACAATAAATGGATAGCAATAAGCAGACGATCATCCACTCATTTTTCTAATGTAGAAAGGTGAAAATTTTCCTAATGCAGAAATACATTTCACTAATCATTCATGCTGATGGCATTCAAAATTAACTTCTCAAAACAAGATACCTTGACATTTGAGCAGAATTAAAAAAAAATGTCACTCTGACCTTCTTTGCTCTTGTCCCGAGAGCAGTCAATGAAGGAATGCCTTGATCTTCCTCTAAAGTAATCATGGGACTTCCATTGCAGGTGTGCCCTCTCTATATGTTGAGGAAGCTAACATGAACTAGCCTGAACAGACAATCAGTATGCTCTTCTATACAGGATCTGTTTGTCTGATCACACTGCAAACCTTTATATCTAAGCCAGTAGTAGGTGATACCCAAAAAATAAGTAAATCCTCTGACTCAATGTATACAGTATGAGATTATATATGTTAAAAATTCCATCTGTGAAATAAAATCGTGTTGCTTTGTATAAGTCCTGTGGGCTTCTCTAGGAGAGAGTGAATGAGAAGTCCATTTGATTTGGCACTCTCCATCTTAAGTTGAGTAACAGAAAGTGGGATTTGTTTAAAAACAAAGCTTCATGATTTAATAAAAAAGTTTTATAGTTAATGTTAATATTATATGTTAAGGGGATAAAAATTTAAACATGGAGATTATAAACCCCTTAATTTTAGTTCTGTAATTACTTTTCTACATATAACATTATTGTAAATGTGTATATGTAAGTAGATATGCCCCCTAAACAAACTCATGTAAGTCATTCCCTTTTCATATGTTGGGAATTCGCTTTTAAAATGCTGAGATTCCAGAATATTTCTATGAGCCATGAAATGGCCCAAGATCAGCACATTTGCTCAACCAGTTTGTTAAAAACCTTACTCTAATAATGAAATGAAAAACCAATATTACTCAAAAAATTGTATCTAGAGGATAATATGTAAATACTTATGAAGCATTAAACATGCTTTTATGCAGTGAAAGTTACATTAATACATATATAAAAGTTATCTTCTTTCCTTATGAAAAGCAGTCTAACTGGTTAGAAAATAGTAACTTACTTCTTTTTTTTTCTTTTTTTTAATTTATTTATTTTTTTATTGAA